AGAGGGTCTTTTCTCCGTGTGTCTGCTGTGTTTCCTCACCACAGTAAATACCTTTCCGTAACCGTTGATTCTGAAATCTTGAGCTTTCTCTACTGCAACCTGTTGAGTTTCCGATTTTTTCCTGCCTTTTTCAGTTAACTGGAAGAGAAAATGAACCTAATCAAGAACCCTAGACTGTCTCACATCTAGACTATCATTTCTAGACTGTATCACTATTGTCATAGGAGTCAATTGGTCATTACAGTGCATTCTTGATGAAAATCTTGAATCCGGCCTCCCTTCCTCTCTCTCACATGTATCTACCTGTCCTTCCAGCATGCTTGATGCTGGAGAAGTGTCTCATCAGATGCTGGCACCATGCTCTTGAACTTGCAGTCTTAAGGATCATGAACCAACTAAACTTATTTTGTGTATAAAGTCCCCAGTCACTGGTATTCTCTTGCAATTGCAGAAAATGAGTTAATGCATTCAGGAAGAAGTGGGCTCACTGCCACACACCAATGTAGCCTTGGCCCTGTGTGGATCACAAGAGAAGGGAAGGCTTGTTTGAATGTTAGATTCAATTTCTCTTCCATCTGAAAACTAACATGGACCCACAGATCTTCCGTGTAAGGTAATACAGTTTCACCATGCTTCAGACCCCTATTTTCCAAACTCATGGCTAGCCCTGGCAGCTAGAGGGCAAGCAGCTGTCCCCAGTGCTTAAGAGAAGACAGAGAGAGAGAGAGAGAGAGAGAGGGAGGGAGGGAGGGAGGGAGGGAGGGAGGGAGGGAGGGAGGGAGGGAGGGAGAGAGAGAAGCGGTGTTCCACTCCACTGCTCTGTGCTCTGAGTCCTGTCTGTGGCTAGTGTGGATCTTTGGCCATCTTTCCTTTGGCTGTGTCTTGACAGCTGAGTGTTGAGTGTACACACTGCATAAGACCTCTCACAGGCCTGGAACTGTGACTAGTTTTCCAAGGGTGTTACTTGCCCATCACTGAACCCTCATGACCACTTCAAATAGCAGATGTATTCATTTGCCAATGATGCTGTGACAAATAGACACTAACCTGGAAGTTTAAACAGCAGGGCATTATTCTCTCATAGCGCTGGATTCCAGACTCTACCAAGTAGTAGTGAACTGTGCCGTCCACTTCTGGTCCTTCCATCGGCTTGGAGGCTTCATCCCGTGTCTCTTCTGGCTTCTGGTTACCGCTCACGACCCTTGGCTTACGGGCTCATCACCCCAGCCCCTGCCTTTGCCTTTGCCTTCTGTGTCTACAGCTCTGTCCATGTTTCTTTCCTATTCTAGGACATCAGTCATTGGGTCAAAGTTCATCCTGACTCTGCTCTAGCTTGAAAGATTTCATCTGTAAAGACCCTGGTTCCAGACACATCATTAGTGCCTAGAGTTTGGACTCTTTCATATTTAGGGGGGTACAAATCAGTCCACAATGGTAAGTACTATTCCAATCCTTCTACTGTAAATTGTGAACTGAGATTCAAGGTAACTGACCCAGAGATCAATAAATACGTGGTACCTAATTATCTGCTTACACCTAATAATCATTATTCCTTGCCTGTGGCAGGTGCCCTGCTGGGTGCCTCCTTCTCATTCCTAACCCTCACATACCCCTCCTGCCTACCCAGGTCACTCATCCAGAAGCAGCAGGTGTGGTATTCAATGTACAGTCCTGACCAGGTCAACACAGCAGAATGTTTCTGGGCAGGCCCACTCTCTTCACCCCACATCTGTTGCCTTGAGGTGGCACCATTCTCTGCCTGCATGTGAGAATCATGACAGTAAGTGACTGGAATTGTTCAAGTGCAGGAAGTCAGTACAACCAGATGCCTCACAATGGGTGATGGACTGATGGGAACAGAGGTCAAGCTAATGAAGAACCAACCACCCAGTGAGTAAACCTGTTAAACAGCAGTGCCACAATTCACGACCTCCCTGCAGGGGACACGGGGAGCTAGGATCACTTCTCTGTTCCAGTTGTCATCTCCCCGGGAAGGACCCTCAGCTAGCATGCTGGGGAGGAACCAGGAACCTGGAATTGCTACAGATGAGTGATTGAAATGATCTCATTCTCCCTGGAGTGAGAAATGAAACACAGCATTTCCTGGTAACGATGCCCTTCCTCAGTATCACCCATGCTAACAGAACCTGGGGCCATGGCGGCCCAGACAGTACAGTATCTCCCTTGCCAGCACAGGGGCCCAAAGTCCATCCCCACGCGAAAATGCAGGTTGGTGGTGAGTAGTTGTAATCCCAGCCAGCGCTGGGGAGGCAGTGGTAAGAGAGTCCGTGGGGCTTGCTTCCAAGTCAGTGAGAGACCCTGTCTCAAAGGAGGTGGATGACACCTGTGAGATTACACTCATGGTTCCTCTCTGGTCTGGCCCATACATGCACATTCACATACAGGCACATACATACTCACACACAGACACACTAAAAAAAAAAAATGTGGCCGGGCGTTGGTGGCGCACGCCTTTAATCCCAGCACTCGGGAGGCAGAGGCAGGCGGATCTCTGTGAGTTCGAGACCAGGCTGGACTACCAAGCGAGTTCCAGGACAGCCTCCAAAGCCACAGAGAAACCCTGTCTCGAAAAAACCAAAAAAAGAAAAAGAAAAAAAAATGTGTGGGACAGGACAATGTCTCAACAAGCCTGAGGACCTGAGTTTGATCTCCGGGATCCATTTGATAGAGGAAAGATCCACTGACACACACTTGTGCTCACATACACATGAACACACATGTACACACACATACAAGTCTAAATAAATGTAACATGCCGTTTAAAAGCTGTGTAAACACACATACATGCAAGCCTTACAAACACAGTGACTCTGAGCCCAGAATTTCATGTAATGGCTGAGACCCAGTGGGCCCCCCAGTTTCACACAGGAATAAATGAAGAAAACACTTTCTCCCGTGCCACAAATGCCAACCCTATCTCTACCACCCATTTCCTGTGGGAATCCAGGAAAGTTATCTCTCTTCTCAGAGCCTTGGTTTCCTTACCTGTAAAATGGGGTGCCAGAATTTACCTTAGAATACTGTTGAGTGAAAAAAACCACACCTGCCTCCCTCACCCTTGATTACGAGGAGAGAATGTGAGCGTTGGATGAGGGTGACACAGCGTCTGAAGTTTAATCTTGTCTCCTGTGCACCCATATTTCTACTTAAAGAGGACCTTGCTTAAATACAAGTGTGGCCAGAGCCCTGCCAGAATCATAAAAGACAAAGCGATTGACACGATGTCCAGACGTAAGGGGAACACTCTGTGCTTCAGTCTGCTCAGTATTATCTCATTAAGAGTCAGTCTCCTCTCCCCAACCCCTGACACAGATGGTGGGGGACACTGGTGGGTGGCGCTGGGGACATCTGTAGCACTTTGATGCCTGCCTTTGTGGTTTGAGAAGCTCAGCCTGGGGCACATGGGTGCTAGGCAATGTGATAGCCATATTGAGAGGGAGTCAGCCTGAAGACATTCTAGGAGGTACTTGGCACTGAGTCTCCTCAAATAGGAGAAGGTATACAGGAGGGAGAGGGGGGAGCAGGCTTACCTGTTCCAGGAAATTGTGTAACTATGAGAAGCATTAGGAAAAGAATTTCACCAGTTTCTTGATCCACGTAAACTTGGTCCTTAGCATTTACACGCAAAGTACCCCCATCCTTGCCCCAGGTCGGTGTGTTTGAACACTTGGTCCTTCTTGGTCCTTACCTTGGAGGTTTGGAACCTTTGGGGCCAGTGTGACTGGCAGAGGTGTGTCACTGGGGCGGGCCTCTGGAGGTCTAGGCTAGCCCTCTGCTTCCTGCCTGCTTCATGTGAAGGAGTCCCTGCCATGTGCCCCTCGGTGAAATCCACTGTTCCTTCCCTGCTCTAACAGACTGGAACCACTAGGGGCAGTGGTGTCCTCCCTGTCATTGCTTCTGGCAGGTATTTTGTCACTGGTGTGAGAAAAGTCACTCCTACTGATCTTCATGGATGTTACAGTTTTTAAGGTTAGGGATGAGAGCACACTGTTTGTTAAAAGTACCTTTTTTTTGCTAAGTGTAGTGACATACACCTCTAGCCCCAGCATGCAGGACTCAGAGATGGAAGGCAAGTTCCAGGTCAGCCAGGGCTTTATAGGAAGACCCTGTCTCACAAAACAAAAACCAGACAAATGAAAATGAATATTTTATCCAAACTTACTTGTTTTTACAATTCCATTCTCTTTCAGATTAAGAAAAAAAGAGTACAGGTTGCATGTGACCAAGGCTGGCCTCGAACTTTCTGTTAGTATAGCCAGTCCTTGATGGGGGAAGCCCTTCTGTGTATATGTTTGATTGGTATACATAAAGCACTGTTGGCCAATAGGGAAGCAAGATAGGTGGGACTAGGAGTCTAGGAGGACTCTGGGAAATGTAGTGAGGAGAGTCGTAGCCATGTGATTCCAGGGAAGAAAGGATGGGTCAGGATGCCATCCTCGGAAAGATAAGTCCTTATAGAAATATTTATTAGTAATTATGGGTTAATAATTAAGTCAGAGCTAGCCATTAAGAAACCATAGCAAATGACCAACAGCTTCATAATTAATACAGTGTCTTGTGTGATATATGGGGGCTAAGCGGCGACGGGACCCAGACAACTGGCGGGAAGAATGCACGTTACAATTCCTAATCTTTGCCTCTACTTCCTAATGCTGGGGTACAGGTGCATGCTCAGCTTTCAGATTCTCTGTGATCTGTTCTTTGAATGCTCATGAAGTTTGACCATGAAGGGCTAGAATAGAGTTGTCCCCTCTAGCTCCCTTGATGTCACATGAACTTTCAAGACTAGCATGGGACAGCAAAGGGGCTGAATATATGTTCCCAAAACAGTGCCATCTAGAGTCAACTGCTCCACATGACATCTCACAGGGACCTTGTTGGATGATTGAAATAGTCATCTAGAAATGAACATAAGGGCAGAGCTGGCATGTATTCCGTGCAAACCGTGGAATGAATAAAACAGGAGACTGACACAGTTGTGAAATTGCATTCAGTAAGAGTCTTTTACTTGAAGTAACAAAAGTTTTGGCCAAACAGAATTCTCATTGAACTTTGTTCCCTTACAGTATCCATCCATTTCACAAGCAGCTTTGGAGGAAGAGGAACTGAGTATTTCACCTTGTCAGTTACAGTACATAAAAAAAAAATAGGTTCTGTTTTTAGCTAAAAATAATTATCCCACTACAACTTAAGTATAAAAAAATTCATTAAAAACAGCCAGTAGCAGCAAAAAAAAAAAAAAAGTCAAACATTTATAAACAAAACCTTAGCAACAACCTTATGCCTAGTAACAAACTTCTGTGCTCCTTGAAAGCATTATATATATACAGGAGGGGGGGTTTAGGTCGTCTTTTTCTTATTATAAAATACTTAGTATCTGAAACAATGTTACCGGGAGCAGACACAATTTGGTCTCATAGTAGAGAGCTTTGAACAAATGCATCAGGACTGTCATGTAGCTGCAGAGGAGAGGCTCTCCAAATGCTGTCTCCGAGCTGTGATCCTAGCACAGCGGGGGCACCTCGAAGACTGGAAACACTGTTTGTGAAAACAAGCCCTGCACCCTGTGAGCAAGGGGATCAGTGGTCAGCAAATGCATTCCTTAATTTCTCACATACATATGGATGCTTGTTCCCATGGCTGGGGGTGGGGAGGGGGGACGGGGACGGGGGCTGGGAAACTGATTTTAGAACACAGGATCTTACAGGAAAAAAAAAAGTCAGCCATGCCAAAACTCTCAGGACTATCAGTTACTCAGCTGCTTGACTACAAGGCCCAGAAGCCTGGTGGATATAGTTGATGTCACATACCTCTAGATCAGCCCCAGCCCTAGGGGCAGTTCCCCTAGTCTTAACTTGGTGGCTGATAGCTCTTTTGTGGCATTGATTCTCTTGAAATGTCTCTAAATGGAGAGAATTGCCTCATTCAAAATCATTCTCCCTTTTTTGGCACCAGCCCTGGATCCAGTGACTAACTGGTTGCTAAGGAGTTTGAAGACCAGGTCACCTCTGTAGGTTGGATCAATGTTGAAAAGCTACTCCCTGCCACCCAGAGTTCTGTGAGATGGCCTGGGGTTTCTTGTAGCACACCATTATTTAATATTTCCCCCTGTCAGCATTGCTACTCCATATCCCCATCTGCCTGGAAATCCCAGGTTCAAGTCTCTTTTCTGGGGACCCTGTCCTGTAAGACTAGAGTATCCTATGAAGAGACCGTGTTCACATAAAAGATGAAAACGGGGTTCCCCATCAAAATCCCTCTCATGTAACAGAATTTACAGAGCATGGATTCCCTTAACCGGGCAATTGGTAAAGAGACAAGTAACTGGGCTTAGGAGATAGCTCAGGTGAAGTAATTTCCACATAACATGAGGACCTGAGTTCAATTTCCCAGAGTCCACATACAAAGTTGGGTGTGGTGGCACATGCCTGTAATTCAGTGTTGAGAGGACAGAGATAGGAGGATCACGGGGACTATGAGCCAGCCTAGTGTAACGGATGAGTTCTAGGTCGGTGGGAGACCTGTCTTAAAAATAAAGATGGACTGTGCCTGAGGGATGACTCCCAAAGTTGATTTCTGGCTTCCACACACATGCACACATACTGGCCCACACACATGAACACACACACACACACACACACACACACACACACACACACACACACACAAACCAGTAATAAATGTTTTAGGCTTTAGAGCCATTGGTCTCTGCGCTGGTTTGAATAGGTATGGCCCTCATAGATTCCTGTGTTTGAATGCTTGACCCATAGGGAGTGGCACTATTAGGAATGTGGCCTTGTCACAAGGCGTGGCCTTGTTGGAGGAAGTGTGTCACTGTGGGGGCAGGCTTTGAGATCTCCTATGCTTAAGCTACCGTGAAGTATGTATGGCACACAGACTCCTTCTGTTGCCTGTGGATCAAGATATAGAACACTCAGCTCCTTCTCCAGCACCGTGTCTGCCTGCGCACTGCCTTGCTTTCTACAGAGATGATAATAACCTAAACCTCTGAAACTGTACATGAGCCCCAATTAAATGTTTTCCTTTATAAGAGTTGCTGTGGCCATGGTGTTCTCTTCACAGCAGTAGAAACCCTAACTAAGACAGTCTCTATAACAGTAGGTCCACTCTACCACAGTAGTTTAAAAACAAAGATAACCCTTCAGTGTTGGATGGAACTTTAATTAAAACTGGCAGCAGGTCAACTGGGAGCATCCTCTCCATCCAACACACCAAGAAATATCATTCCTTATCCCTATTCTGCAATGTATGCCTCACTGTGGGCCCCACGCTGTACTGCCCCCAGTCCATATTCGAGTGCACACTGCATGGCTGCACATGACAGAGGTAACTACGTAAGGGACTGAGGCATCATTCAGTTGGAGTTAGCATTGTGATTTAGCTACTTTGCCATTAAGTTAAGCAATTATGGAGCTGTTGTTATTAAAGTAAAGTACCTGAGCATCTTCTGCAAGTCATGGTCTGGAAAGGGAAGATGACAGTCGTGCTCTGGCAAAACTCACAAATGAAGCCCTTCCCCTGGCACAGCTGCAAAAGAAGGCATCTAAGGTCACACATTGACCCTGCTGCTTGTGCTAGGAACACTGAGCTACCACTTTCACAGAATTTTGTAGAAGCATGAATTTTTCAATGACTATGAATTTAGCCTTTAGAAGAATTGGATCAGAATAACAGCAACAACAACAAAAACCACATTCCACAATGGCTGCCTCGGGACAGAATGGGCTCCTACAGAGTATAGACATTCAAACTAAGAAGCTACAGGGTCCCATCTTGTGTCCCAGGAGGGTGACTTTGGTTAGCTAATGCAGGGCTATGACTCGATGCTCAGTCTGCTCAGGGCCCTGAAAGTTAAATGTGGTCAAGAGTCAAGTGAGAAATCTCTCCCTCCCACTATCCTGGCACTAGGAAGGGAACCTGTCCCAGGTGAGCCCTTACCTCACAGCTGGCCACATGGGCAAGGGAAGCCTTCAGGATGTCCTTCAGCAAGGGGGCCAGCAGTCCTTTCTTGGTCCTGAGGAGGTCATCCATGGAGAACAGATGGCAGTCATCAGTCAGATGGCTGGGAACCTGCCCAAACTCCTTCAGTACACTGTCAGAGAGGAAACAGTTCCCTGAGTCACCTACACTACTAAAAATCTCTCTTGGGGATTGGGCGATGACTCAGGCACTAAAATGCTTGTTTTGTATGAAGAGGACCCACGTTCAAATCCCTAACACCTACACAGAAAGCTGGGCACTGCAGTTAATGCTTGTGATCCCAGTGTTAGGGAGGCAGAGACAGGGGATGCTCAGAGCTCACTGGAGCTTGTCAATCGGTACATGAGTCCCAGGCCAACTTAAAGACTATGACTCAAGAAATAAGGGGATAGCTATTGATGAGATACCCAGCATCAGCCTCTAGCTTCCACATGCATGCAAACACGTGTGCACACACATGCATACAAACACACATAAAATCTCTATCCATAAATTCATGTCTCAACCTTTAGTGGCTATTTGCTTTTGATAATGTGTCTGTGATGTAAATTTAACTATTATCCTATCACTGAACACCTAGAGTAGGTGTCTATGTTACATCTTATTTTAAGTTTATATCTTAACTAAATTTCTTCCCATCTCTGTAAGAATATCCCTAGGGTAAACAATGAGAAGTAGTTTTAGGAAGCCATGCTCTCATTCAGTGGGACATGCATTCTGCCTCTAAGTGAGGGGAGTTTAGTAGGCCGTGGGAATCCTCACAGCAACACTATTCACAAGAGACAGAAGCAGCCTATCCCTTGGTGAGCAGAAAAAAAATCAATAGTGGGATGCTATTCAATCCAAAGGAAGAATCCTGACACATGCTGCAGCATGGCTGGACCTTGAACAATAATCCAGTGATAAAAAGACATATACTCTATGATCCACACACACGAGATACGTAGAGTGGTCAAATCTATAGAGAAAGAAAATGGGTTGCCAGGGTCTGGGATGAAGAGGAAGGAGGGCATGGTAGAATGTTTACAGAGATTGGATTTTGCAAGAGGTCAGAGTCTGCAGATGGACAGTGGTGGTGGCAGCATGATGGAAACACCCTCAGTGTCCATGGACTGTCTTGCAGAGTGGGTGGGAAGATAAACCTCTGTTACATGTGTTCATCACAAACTGTTGAACTTACTATATTTGCATTCTATTTATACTCTAGCCACTGGCCAGGGGTACTTATTTTATCCTTGTCCTGTCCTTTTTAAAAACTTTTGTTTGCTTCCTTCAGTGCTGGGGGTCAAGAATAACAGTTCCTAAGGAGCTATAGATGCTGCGGGAGCCAGGACAGGAAGCACATTCGAGGTAGGAGTGGAGAGTGTTCCAGCTGGGAATCATACCTGTCAGCAAACCTGCAAGTCTTCAACAGCTTCTTGATATGAAACAGCTGCTCCTGGATGTCCTAAGGCAAGAAGCCAACCAGAGGGAATGAGATGCGTGACCACCGGCAACGGTGTGGCAAACCTTAAAGGTATTTGACATACTGTGCTGGCAAACAAAATCAACTTTCAAGCAAATAGCCCCTTCAGCAAGGCCTCATAACCAAATTCTTGAATCTGCAAGTCCTGAATGGACACAGGTTTGTGGAGCCTTGGAAAGAGCCTATACAGACAAGAGGCCCTGGGATCATTCACTGTACAGTCTATCTGCCCTGTGGAGGGTCTGGAGATACTCTGAAACCAGAGTGACGTGCATTTCCCACCATGGGACATCTCTCTCTTCCTACCCTCGCTTCCTCCTCTGAGGAGACATCAACTCACCTTCACCCTATCCAGTTCCTTGGCTTTTGCATAGAGGCTGTGGTGCCCACTTAGCAGGTTGAAGACAGGCTGGTGCCATACGCTGTCCAGCAGCCATTTAGAGAAATTGCTGACTTGGTACTTCCTGAAGTCCCACATCATCAGGATCCTGGCAGGGATACAGGACTCTGCAGATGAGTGGCAGTTGTCACAGAAGTACTTCCCCAGATACTCACAATACCGGAGCCGCTTCACAAACTCTGCAGAGGGCAGGAGAGTGAGACCGTGTTCACGATACTAGGAATCTGCCCTAGGCCACCTCCCCACTTCTATGCAAGGCTCAGACTCGTCACTATTCACAGTGGCAACGCCAGACTCAACTGCCAGGCAGCATAGCTGTGACATTGACCTGGGGATCTCACTTGTGGCCATTTGGGACTTTGCTGTGATAAGACAGATGCCACAGAAACAGAATCCTCCCAAACACTCTTGGAAAATGGGCGTAACAAACTGCAGTGCAGTGAGAGTATTCTGTGTAGAGTCTAGGAATCTGGTGGAGTGCACAGATGCCACCTGCTGCTGACAGGAACTCCAATGACATCCCAGAATCTCTTAGGTTAGCAAAATGCAGCACAGAGGTTTCAGGGACAGCCCACATATGATGAGCACATTCTAAAGCAGGGTACGCACAGTATTAGGATGTAGCCTCCAAAAGAGTTTGTTTATAAATCTGGTGGTGGTGGGGTCAGAGAGAGGAAGAGAGAGGGGGGGGGTTTATTTGTTTCTTGCACTTTTGAATTTGCTAAAACAAACACGTCATGTTTCTGAAATTTCTCTAATAAATTATTTTGGTTCAGTGCTTGGGTTTTCCAAGTATCTAATGGAGAAGCAGGCAGGATGTTGGTCCTCCTGACTGCTGGCTAGTCATGTGGCTTAGTGGGTGATGATGGCCTCCTAGTGAAAGACAGCGCCACCTCCACAACACGCTCACACCAGAAAGTCTCCTGTCTCACTCAAAGCAGTACACAGTCCAGCTCTGGGGATCTTCACTCTGTTATCAGATAACAAGCAAGTGGAACAGGCCCCATACTTACAGGCCCCATACTTACTGGGCTGTATTGGAGTCCCGCATCCGGCACAGAAGAAATTTTGGGCCACTACCGCTGTGTCCCTCCTGAGGACAGAAAACCATAACTGTCACACATTTCAGAGCTGGCCTGGGCAGCATTTTTCATTGATAGAAAAGCAGTTGATAACGTGGTGTGTTCCTTGGCTTGGGGTCCTTAATTTTGTCATTTTTAGAAAATTATATACATATTCAATATGGTTTTATAGTTGAAACCTGTGGGCTTTCTAAATCTTTTAAAAGTCTCAACTGTTCCCAAATTAGAAGTGAGTGTCGAAAAGAACTTTTCCAATATAGAGTCCTTGGGGTTTCCCACTGCCCATGAACAGAAGTCAGAGGTACACTAAAGACAGCCAAGGGGACATGATGGTCTGACATGCTTGGAAAGGTCACATGAATAAATACAATATACATTAGAATAAGAGATGACACAAGACAAAGTTATCAAATGCTCCTGAGAAGGGTGTTCTGGGGACAGCTACACTCTGATTTCAACAGTGACCTAGAATTGTGGGCAAAGTGGTAAATTTACATTTTTATTGCAGTTCAAGGTCAACAAAAATTGTCGAGGTTAAAAAAATACGCTAAATCTCTGCTCAAATATCTTACAGAGGGTTCTGGGAAATTTGAAAGAAGATATCCTGTGCAACGAAAGTGACCTGTCCCCAGTGCCTTGAGGGCAACTTGTGCCCAAGCAGTTATAGCATGCTTCCTGGGATCCACTAAGTCTTAGAGCAAAAACAGCAGGCAAAGATATGGTGGTGTTTGAGCGACCTCTGTGGAGTACAGGGAACATTGCTCCATAGCCCTGAAGTTTGCATGAGAGACCAAGAGAACAGAAAAACTGCATGTGATTAAAACATGTTGCCTGTAACCTTTATCTGTAACCCATTACTTGTTTTCAAAACAAATTACAATTAAACTATTATGTACACACAGTATGTATGTCCACATATACAAACTCTATATATGTTTAGTCCCTTAATGTATAATTTTAGCTATCTCGGAGCATCTGTGATTTCATAGAGATTTTACTTATGTCCTGCTATATTTCTCAACTATGGGCAATCTCCTTGAGCTTAAATTCTTCTTTTAAACCTTTTGTGCATTCATTGTTCTTTTAGTTGAACACTAGCTAGTCTGGAAAATAGAATGGTCTCATCACTTTAAATCATTGTATTTGATTTTTGTTTCAGTACTGGCCACTTAAAATTCTCTTTGGGCCTATTTAATCTACAATTGCTATGGAATGTTCATAACTCGGGAGGGAGAGTTACACTTTTAACTTGTGCATTCTTATGAACCCCCTAATCCTGCCTCCCCCCAGAAAAACTCACAACAGAGTGCTTGATAAAACTAAGGCAGAAACCATCTCCTTTGTTCCCAGCACATTGTGTTTTCTGCATCTGCTTCCATAGAAATCGGATAAGACACGTTCCAAGTAGAACCTGGGATTCCAGGCAGCACCCCACACTTACTTGATTGGCGTGTGAACAGTGAGTATGATTTGAAATCCAGGAGGCACCCAGTCTTCAGCCCCTGGGACCCTAGACTTAGGCATGATTTCCTGTGTTGCATCCACACTGGAATCAAAGTCTTCCCCAGCATGCTCTTCATTCCCAACCTGCATGACACATGACACACGGGGGGGGGGGGACACAACACCTCAGCAATCACATTTCAGGGGGTTAATTGAAAAGTGTGTTTCCCACTAAAATTTACCGCCAGAAATTGGAACTGGTTTTAGCTGATCTAAAGGACTTGGCACGGGCCTCTACTTTCCAGCTGAGGCCCCGCCCCCCCCCTTTTTGTCCTTGTTGATTGCATGTGTGGTGCCTGTGCAGGCCAGAGGGGGGTGCCAGACCCCCTGTTGCTGGAGGGCAGCTGTGAGCTGCCTGTTGCAGGTGCTGGGAACTCTGCAAGAACACAGCGTTCTTTACCCCTGAGCCTGAGCCCACCTGCTTTAGTATTGTTAGTGCATTTGTTTCCAGACTTCCCATGCGATGAGAGGGCTCTGTGACCAGGGATGGTCCTCCATGACCAGAGCAGCCTCCAGTGACTAAAGCAACAGCCAATCAGAGCTTTGCCATGGTCTTACTGTAGAACCCTAGTTTACAAAGCTCAACAGCTCCCTGTAAAACCCTGCATTTTCCTATTGTCATTTAAAACCCAGACTCTTCCAGTCCCTAAACCCCCACCATCTGGCCATTATCATCCAAACCTGTTCCCATGAACCCCACCCCACCTCACTCATACTGTTCACCACACCCAAGTCTCTCTGCTCTTCAGAGCTCCAAACCCCTCCATTTGTGTTCCAATGGCTGTTGCTAAGAACACTTCCCCAAGGATCTAGCGACCCAAGCACCACCAGGCTAACACCTGGGTCAGACTGAAGCTCTCCGGTCAGCTTAGATGCCCTCCCACTCTGGCCCTTCCAGAGTGGTTTTTTGTTGTTGTTGTTGTTTTTCCCAACACTTCTTTTAGCATTTACTACCACCAGGAGGTTCTTTAAGGACAGTATATCCTGCAAGCAAAGCCTCGCATATTTTCACATCTTTCTGTCAGCTAGTAGTGACGCCTGCTTCACCACTGCCCTGCCCTGCCCCCTGCCCTGCTAAGGTCTGCCCAGCACTTTAAAATAAGAGTAATAAGAGGGGAAAATGAGTGCATCTCAGGATACTTGGGAGGATCGTAACATTTTAGCAAGCTTGTAATCCCAGCGCTAGGGAGGCTGGAATAAGAGGACTCTGAAAATTAGAGACTAGCCTAGGTTACACAGCAAGACCTTTCCTCAGAAGAGTAACACCATGGTGTGAATTGTTCAGTACATTTTCTAATGTTTAATGGGTTCTCAGAGTCCTTTTGAGACCTCAGGGACACCTATAAAGCATACGAGGAAACACAAATATTTGAATCCTGCAGGCCCAGTGAGAAATTAAGGACGCTTCATCCTACATCAATTGCCTTCTATACTTACTCCCGAGCTGGCAGCTGACAGGGATCCTGGCGGCCTAGAATTGACTTCCGACAGCACCTGGCACTTCCAGAACCCTCGGAACAACTCCCTGGCTAACAGCCCAGCATAACCGAAGTCTGGCTCATAAGTTACACTGAAACATGAGAGAGAAAAAAAAAGTTGGACAACTGTGCATAGGGAATACAGTCAGGTGGAAAAGAGCACTGGATTTAAAGTCAGAAAACCAGAGTTCAATCCTTCTGATGTTTAATAGCATGGTGAGACCGACCCATTCTTTAATCTAAGCATTGGGGTGGCAGAGGCAGGGGATCTCTGAGAGCTCAAGTCCAGTCGAGTCTACCTAGAAAGTTCCAAGACAGCTATAGCTACATAGTGAGACCCTATGTAGGGGTGGGGCTCTGTGACATCCTCTTATAAGCCTTAGTTTCTGTGTCTATAAAACAGGGTTACAAGTCACAGAGGCTGGAGAGATAGCTCAGCAGTTAAGAGCACTTGTTGCTCTTACAGAGAACCAGGATTTGGTTCCAACATGTACATGGTAGCTCACAACCATCCATAACTCCAGTTCCAGGGTGCCAAAGCCCCTCTTCTGACGTCCATGGGCATGCAGCATGCACATGGTACACATACATACATGCAGGTAAAACACTCATAAAATAAACAATCTAAGTTTTTTAAATAAATGCACAAATACATATGTAAAACTTTCCTAGCCTCCCTGTGTGGTTAAATGAAGACATGTACTTTGCAGAATATGTGTGCATTGTGTGACGATGTGTTGCTGTGATTGGTGTAATGAAAAAGCTGAATGACCAATAGCTAGGCGGGAGAGGAAAGGCGGGACTTCCAGGCAGAGAGAGTAAGTCAGCGGGATGGATCTAGCCTTGCAGGAGACACGAGGGAGAGGTTGGACATATAGTACAGAGTGGAGGTAACCAAGCCATGTGGCATAACATGGATTAATAAAAGTAGGTTAATTTAAATTAAAAGAGCTAGCTAGAAAAAAAAAAGCCTAAGCTAAGGCCAAGCTTTCGTAATCACTAACAAGTCTCTGTGGGCTGGCAGTCCCAACGAGAAAGCTTACTACACATATACAAATAGCCTTTCACACACCATAACACACAGTGACTTTGGGGGTGCTGTGCTCTGAATATGGGCAGTGTCCTCCAAAGTTCCAGATGTTAAGGGATTGGCTCCAGGGACATGATTGACACTTAGGGAGGTGGAACTTGGCAGAAGGTCTGTAGGTCACCGAGGGCAGTAACTGTAAAGGATGGTGGGAGCATTCACTCTTACCCTTGAACCTGACATGATATTCCCAAGACACACTGACCTCACTGTCAACCACACTATCATGTCTTTGAGTTTTCAAAGACACATAAACCTTTTCTCTCTGCAAGCTAGTTGTCTCGGGTACTTTATCATAGCAAACAAAGCTACTATTATGGAGTTGACCAACTGACTTGTAGGTGATAGGCCTGTCTTAGTTTCTTTTCCTGTTGCTGTGATAAAATGATAAAAGTAGCTTAAGGGGCAAAACACCCATGTACACACACGCACACACACACAATAAACCTCAGAAAAAATTAAATTAAAGGAGAAAGAATTTATTTTACTTTTTAAATCTTTTTGTTGTTATTGTTGTTTGTTTTTTTATTTTCTGAGACAGGGTTTCTCTGTGTATCCCTGGCTGTCCTAGAACTCACTCAGTAGACTATGCTAGCCTGGAATTCACAGAGATCCACCCACTTCTGCCTCCCAAGTTCTGGGATTAAAGGCATGCACCACCATGGCCTTGCTAAAATTTTTGATATTATGATCAAATCGTTTTCTTTCCTCCACCACTAACTTACCAAACTAGCATAATCCCTAACAACAATCTATAAACATTTGTTCTTGAAAATGTAGTCTTGGCCTCTCATCAGAGAAATTTCTCTTTGCAACAGACAGAGACCACTACAGAAAACCGCAACCAATCAGAATGCAGAGTTGTGGTGCCAAATGGAGACATCTACGAAGACTCTCACACCTAAGGCTCAGGGAGCACTGCAGAAGAGGGGCTGGAAAATCAATATAGCCAGAGGACTGGGTTGCTTGCTGAGAGACTGTCAAGGAGGATTTATTTTAGCCCAGTCTTCAAGGGACAGTCCACCATGGTAGAGAAGTCAAGGCATTGGGACCTTGAAGTGACTCGTCACACTACACACGCAATCAGAAGAGAGCAATGAATACATGCATGTTAGCACCCAGTCTCCACTCAATAGTCCAGGTTGCCCTGCCCATAGAATGGTCCCACCCATAATTATCACGGTCTTCCCCCATGGATTAACATAGTCAAGATAATCCCCACAGGCAGGCTGAGGGGCCCTACTCTTCGGTGATTCTGGATTCTGTAAAGCTGACAATTAACACTAGCCATCATGGATCCTCGTTTGTGGCTAACCTGGCCACAATATCCGGTATCAGTGGCAGAGTGTTCATGGTGACTCCCTAGAAACCCCCATGTGTATAAGCACAAGAAGACTTGTACCTCTTTAAAGAGTTGCAGGGGCGTCTGCTGCTTTCTGGGATGTCATTACATTCCCCAAGTTCTGTGGGAAAATGAAAGAAAGGGTAACAGGGCCTTTCAGCCTGTCTCACTCAGTTAATGTCATAAGAATACAAAAAATAGGTCCCTGGACTCAGGGAACCTGTAGTGGGTAATCACCTACAGACATAGTGTGAGACTCCAGATAACCACCAGACATGGGATGTTTACATAAACTTCATCAAAACCACATAGCAGATTTAGAGAACATTTACATTTTTGTTCAACTCTTACAAATAAGATGAACAATTATAACGATGCTAGAGACAGGGAAACAGTTTCTCCTTCTCTGCATCCTGGGAGAGGTTTCCACAAACATCCCTGACATGGCCTTGTATGTGATGTTTGCTGGTAGGTATGTGGTATTTGAGGGAGTTGGAAGCAAGGAGGCTCTAAATCTCACCTAATGTAACCAGTTCATCCAAGTCATGTTTGCAGGCCTCTCTCGCCACAGGTGAGTAAGAAAGTGTCTCAGTCACTGGGCCGACCTGGAGCACACCACAACCTGAAGAAAGAAGGAAGATGGACTTCATCACCAGGAAGTGAGACTGGAAGCTAAAGAGATGGGTCAGCAAAGCATCTGTGTAAGCACGAGGACCGGAGTTCAACCCCCAGAACTACAGAAAAAGCTGATCATGGTAGCTTGAGTTTGTAATTCCAACACTGGGAAGGTGTGGGGGGTGGGGTAGACAGGTGGGTTTTGGGAGGTGAGCTAATCAGAGAGTTCCAGGCCAAGTGATAGAGCTTATCTAAAAGTAAAACAAAACACCAAAGGGACAGTTCCTGACACCCAAAATTGTCCTCTGATCTCTCCCCATCCCCCGCCCCGTACAAATCATTACATGCACGTTTAAACACATGTGCATGAATGCATGACTATCACAACAAGCAAGCAGCCCAGGAGTAGAACACCTGCAGGGCGGTGGTAGCAATCACCCAGCACTCCGCAGGCAGAGGCAGGCAGATCTCTGAGTGTAAGGCAGCCTGGTCTACCTAGGTTACCCAAGGGTATGCAGAAACCTTATCTCAAAAAACAAAAACAAAACAAACAAAAATAAGAGTAGAACACCCGCCAGGCATGCACAAGGCCCTGGGTTCAATCACAGTATTGCAAGAAAAAAATGGCAGCAGGTATGGCGATACCCACCTACGGTGTCAATACTTGGGAGGTAGAGGCTGATGAAGTGCACCTTCAAACCTGTCTGGTGTATAGTAAGATGCTTTTGAAAGAAGAAGGAGACAGTGAGGAAGAGGGGGAGGAAAGGAGAAGGAAGAGGAAGAAGAAGAGGAAGGGGAAAGGAACTGCATAGCTCCCAGATGACAGAAAACGGTGAGCAGCTTCGAGGATTAAAAACAGCAGGAAGCTAGTTCAGGATCTCTCATTCACCATAACTAGGTAAAACAGAATGATGCAATCTGTCTACTTTTAGATATGTTTGAAATTTTCCCAGTATAATATAAAGTTTAAAATAAAGCTAGCAAAGGCAAAATTAAAAAAAAAAAAGCAAACCTGGCCATGAAATACATAGTACAAGACACATAATTATACTGGGTTGAGTCATGTCCCTCCAAAGTTCGTGTCTATCTAGAACATGTAAATGTGGCCTTATTTGGCAATAGGATCTATACAGAGAGAAGGGCAAGTCAAGCCATAGCCTCCAGTCCCCAGAAGGGGTTGTGAAGAATTATTAGATGAATTGTGTAGACGTGTTGAGTTAGAGGTTAACTATGCCCATGTGGAAGCTGAGATATGATTATACAGGAAACAGAGAAAGTGGGCTATCTTGAGCCACACAGGAAGAATGTTAAGTCAGACGATCTGGGGAGCCACCAATTGGGTAAGCTTGACAAGTATAGAAAGACACTTGAAAGAGACGCTCGGAGCTGAAAACACAGGTCTCTCAGAGGTGTCCACCAAACGAAGACACAGATGGAGACAAAAATCTGCCAGAAGGTAAATTGGGGGATGGAGCTGAAGACAGGGCTTGCTTTAAGAAATGGGTGCAGAGTAAAGCTAACATTCATTGCCAGCTCCCTGGGTTCCCAGCTGCCCTTGACTGGGCTGGACGCTCACCTCTGCAAGGTGCTATTCCTCTCGCCTCCTTGGCCCTGGCTCCGCACTTCTTCTCTAGGGAAAGACAGTGTGGTGGTTTGAATGTAGTTGGCCCCCATAATCTCACAGGGAGTGGCACTATTAGGAGGTGTGGCCTTGTTGAAGTAGTTGTGGCCTTACTGGAGAAAGTGTGTCATTGTAGGGGTGGGCTTTGAGGTCTATGCTCAAGATACCACCCAGTGTCACAGTCCATTTCCTGTTGTCTTCTGACCAAGATGAAGCTAGGACCATGTCTGCCTGAGTGCCACCATGTTCCCTGCCATGATGACAATGGACTGTAAACCTCTGAAACTATAAACAAGCCACCCCAATTAAATGTTTTCCTTATAAAAGTTGCCATGGTCATGGTGTCTCTTCACAGCAATAGAAACACTATGACACAGAGTGTCCTACCACACTGAGTCCCATCACCAAGCACGTGACAGGTTCATTGTTTGCTAAATGAAAGAGGGCCACTAGGCAAGGAAAAGATGTGGAAGGAAAGCTGAGAATACTATGTGAGAGAAAATGAAGGAAGACAGACGACAACAGCAACCATGAAAAGGCAGAATGAAATCCACGGAAAAACCAAACAAGACGTGCAGCCCTGGCCAAAGGATGGTGTATGAGCACCAATCACAGGCAAAACAGCAGCCATTCATAGGTGCTCAACTTTTCACACCACAAAGTGGCATTATCCCCAACACAGTACACACCAAAGACTCTCAAAACCGACTCACTGCAAATAACAAAACACACACACACACACACACACACACACACACCTCAAAATGTTGTAAGTTAGCTTCAGATTTTGAATTGTGACATTCCTGGCTAACCTGAGGTGTATGTGGCCAATGGACTATGGATTAATCAAAGGACTAAAAAATGTCCCTCCTTCAGGACTGGACAGAGGACAGACAGTGTGCATGGAGATCACCACACTCAGCATTCAAGCGTTTGCCCGACTTGCCTTCATAGCCACTGTCTGAAGAAGTGGAGGACCCTGGCTCCTGCTGTGCGGGGGTTAAAAGGGTCACTTCATCATGAATCTGAGCGTTCCCATGAGACCCTCTGGCTTCCTCTGTGCCCCAGATCTCTGGCTGCTGTTGACTCAGGAGGTTGCATTTCATATTCTCTATTGCTGAGATAATCATGTCTGCAGCATAAAAGTGGACATTTTCCTGAAGGAAAAAAAAAAGTCAGTTCAAATAGGAGCATAGTCAACTTTCCCTTGGAGTACAGATCAGATTTCAAAACTGGAGAAGTGCCACTTGAGTGGCACCAAGGCACATACATAAAACCGTGATTTAACTAAATTATGACGTAACCCACATCCAGAAACACAGATAAAACAAATTGAGTTAATTGACTTTCAGGACCAGAGATTGAACTTAACATCACATACACTAGGCAATCAGTCTACTACTGAGGTCCATGCCCAGCCACCAAGTTGAGTTTCTTGTGATAGAACATCTTCAGTAGGTGGGACCCAGCATCTGACAATTCATCAGTTAGGGACAACTGAGCACATGGTGCTGGAAAACGTCTCCTGGCAGCCTCTCTCAAACACTGAAAAGAATCCTTTGGTTGTGCCTTGCTGGGGTGGTTTCCAAACTTAAATCCGAGAGACACTACCAAAAGTCTCAGGCTCTCGGTGGATGAGAAGATGCACTCACCTCTTCCATGTCAATGGGCAGCATAAACATCTCCAGTGGGAAGAAATCCCATGAATGGTTTCTTCTGCTGCTCTGAGCAGCACCTGTCAACACAGTGAGTCATTAAAAATGGGGAAAGGGGGTCAGGGGCATGGCTTGTGGAGCCAAATTCAGTCTCCTGTTGTACCAGGCACCGCGCCTGCAATCTCACTGCTGGAGAGGTGGAGACAGGAGTATTCTTGGGCGTGGTAGCCAGCTACTTTAGACAAATTAGTGAGCTGCTGGTTCAGTGAGAGACTCTGTCTCCAAAAGAAGGGCGGATGGAGAATGACAAACGCCACCTGACATTGACCTCTGGCCTCCGCATACACATGCATGCAGGTAAACACACAACACAAAGAAACACACACACACACACACACACACACACATGCACACACGCACTGGGAAAACATGGGAAAACAAATTCAAAGATTATCTAAGCAAACAAAACCACTTGTGGAGTACAAGTCTTCAATACCATTGAGAAAAAGTACATTGCTGGAAAGATGTGGGTGGCGGAAGAGGAAACAGCCTTCTGATGACAAGGCCTGTAGACACAGCCTTACTGTCAATCATTTTCACAGGAATAATGGAGTGACTGAGCAGTGTCTGCAGAAAACCACCAAAAAGGATGGGCCAGGGGAGCAAAGATGGCGGGAAGGTGACAAAGTCATGGGAAATACCCATGAGAGTTGGGAAAGTGGCCTTTAGAGTTACAGGATCACTTCCCCAGCTCTTGACCCCAAACTTCCCATGACACACCCAAAGTCATCTGAAAACAAACAGTCGTCCAGCCAAGCCCAACATCAGCCACCCTGTGTCACCCACTCCTTACTGGCAATGGGCACCGAAGGGAGTACTTCCTATCACAGAAGTGCTACCTGCAGCCTTGGAAGGAAGTGAAATTTCATGACAGCCGGAGAAGCTGAGGTTTCCTGACCTGCTGAATTAAAATAAGACTCTGCAAACATCCTGGGGGCTGTGGGTTCTCAATGCCAGACGAATGCAGGCAGTGTCACCCTGATGCCCTGTGTTGAGCAAAGAGTTGGACATGGAAAACCAAGGACATCTTGGCTGGGGTTGGTAAACATTTTGGAGGTAGGATGTAAAGGGCCATTCACCATCTCTGCCACTGTAACTAGAAGGCCACTATTAATGAAAGCAACTAAATTGCTGGCTTGTCTTTTTAAAACAAAAACAGGAAATTGGCAGGGTTTGGCCCCTATGTCATAGGTACAGACCTGGTGCAGAGGAAAAAGCAAGATCCAGCAGAATGGTGCCCAGACCCATTATGCCTTCATCACCAATTGTCTCTTGCCTTGAGTTGGGATTATTACCTGTTATAGCATAAGGAGATAGAGAATGCAAGGATATTCTGTAAGCATGCAGGTCCTGCTCACAAAATAGGGACCAGGAGGTTGTGTCTACAGCCTCAGGAAATGCATCCTCTGCTGCCATTAGAGCTGTGGGTGCCCACAGAAAGCCCCTGTCACAGTGGCGATGTCTGTCCCTTCTACTGCTCACACTAAAGGAAGAGAGAACCCTGTCACTTCCGGGCTCCTGTTCCCTAATTGCACTCAATGACTATCTTCACCAAGCTCAAGAGAGTCTTGTCAGGTATGATGGTACACACCTGCGATCTCAGTGCTCAGGAGTTAGAAGTGAAAGGACTGCCACCAGCCTAAGACCAGCCTGGGATATGGAGTGAGAGCCTGTCTCAAAACAAACAAACAAACAAACAAATAGAACACTTCAGAACACTGACAGCGGGATTGTTGGGAAACCCTGCCTTTGGACAAAAGGGGCCACAGTACTTGTCTTTGCTTTGGGGTTCATTTTGTCCCATTGTTTTTCTAGGAGGAAGACAAAACTGTGAAAGTAATGCCAAGTTGAAGAGCCACTTCTTGTACAAAGTCATGACACATTGCTTTTGGTCTCAAAGGTCATCATCAGTCAGTGGCTGCTTGTGACTTGGTACCATGGTGGTTTGTGTGGGGAAAGGCTTCCTCCGGGAGGCAATGAAACAGCAAACTCTTGTCTCACTTAGCAACCTCTACATTTGCAAGCCACTCTCTACCCAAAGAACTGATCCCCTGGGTGGACAAGAGGAAGAAAGAGGAGGCCTGTTTTGAGAGGCATTTGCTCAGATTTGATTGTCTCAAAGTTACGCTTTGATAGACAGTAAGAAGCAAATACACACGTAGGTGGAGAGCAGGCAGGTGACAGCTCTTGAAGTTATTCTGCAGCAAACAACAACAACAGAATGCAGGCTATTTGAAGCAAGGCTCTAAGCTCACAGCATGGATACAACATAATGAATCCTTCACCATAAAATAAGGACAACCAGCGGAACCTTGCTGGTTACTTTGTGTGGACTAATTCATCCAGGAGTTTTCTATTTTAAGAACATGTACAGCCCTTGTTTCCACACCAATGGGTGTTAGATAGTCCTTGAGAGGAGTACTGTGGCTACTCTTTTCAAATTTGCTCTTTTCTCAGCTGTCTGTGCTGGAACTAGAACAGGTGAGGTGTGTTTGTCACCAGAGGGAGCAATACTATACAGCGAATTCCTTTCAAGTCTGCAAACGCCTTCCCCAACCACAGTGGGTTGCAAGTTCCTAATGTTCTTGCTGCAGACAAGCTAAGAAGCCCAAAGATTGCTTCTGGAACGGCACGTCCTGCAAACAAAGCCTTGAGTATTTTCACACCTGTCAGCTAGGAGTGATACCTACTTCACCACTGACCCTCCCTGCTAAGGTCTGGGACTAGCGCTTTAACTATGCTGAGCTAAAATGATGGCCTGTCCCTCAGTGGGAGGATGAAATGATATCTGATCTACCTTTTGTGACCATCACAGAGTGTGGACTGTGGTGACACTAAATGAGCTCACGAATTGGCTTCCGGTCAAAGTAGAAAGCCATGAACTTCGTTTCTTGTGGCAAAGACATTAGGTAGACTTTCAAACCAAGCCCAGACAAACATGTGGATGGAGAAGAATAAAGGAAGTCACCAGATAGGGTTACCGTCATCTGCAGAAGCTGTCAAGCAAGGAGACTCAAAACGGGCACTGTCCTCCTTAGGGGATGGGGAAGTGGCCACAGTCTTGGGGTTTCTGAGCAGAGATTTGTGCTGAGGCCGAACCTCTTGCTCTTCTGTTGCCAGAGAGAAGTCACCATTCTTTCTCCCGGGGCCATGAGCAGAGGTGCTGCCGATGACATCCACAGTCCTCTCAGACAATGTCGTCTCAGCTAGGGAGTCCCTGTGGGACAACAGTGAAGTGCCCAAGGGAGACGGAGTGTCCACTACCAAGTGTTCCCCACTGTTCTGCACTGTTGGGCTCTTCGGGTGTAAGTCTTGTAGGGGCTGCTCCACACACACTGGGTTGATCCAGGAAGCTTTGTGCCTCAGGAGTCTCACATCTAACTGGCAAGGAGGGTGATCAGTGTCCAGGAGCCGGGGCAAACCATCAGTGATCTCACGGGCACAGCTGATCCCTCCACAGGGATCCACAGGAGAACCGTGCCTGTCTGTGGCCTGGGATACCATCCTTCCAGGTGTGGAGTGAATGTGATCAACACATAGCTCTTCAGCGGCTGCTGCACCACCTGGCATGGTCCCTGACCTCATCACATGGCCAGCTGGAGGTCTGAAGAGTTTATCTGCAAGGAGCGAGAATCAACCCAGATAAATAAGAGTTCAGTTGTATTTTGGGTTATATGTTATTGCCAATAAGTAAAAAGCAAACAAAACAAAACAACCCAAACAAATCACTTTCCTTTATACCTCACATTAACTTCTCCTTGTATTTTCAAACTAAAAATAAATCACTTAAGTCAGACAAACAAAACAAACAAACAAAAACAGCAGTACGCCTAGAGAGTTTGATATAGGGATAAGAAACATTTTTGCAAGTGTGGAATTCATTGAAGAAGCCACAAAGATCAACTAATAATGCAAAATATCAATATGCCAAAGGTATTATGATAAAATTGCCTGTCAAATCAAAAATGGAAATGCCACGTAAAAGTAAAGATACTTTTATATCACTTTATTTGGAGTTAGTTCTAGCCTTACAGTCAAGCAAGGAAGCATTAAAATGAAGGAAGACAGCCACTAAGGCCCTGGTGCCATGCAGCTTGAGTCAACTTGAATATTCATGACATCTATAGGGATTAAGTATTAGTTTCTAATATTTCTAAATGATGCTGTGAATCTAGAATTCATCTTTAAGATGGTTCTGTCTGATTTTTGGCTGTAGCGAATGTGATGATGACTAAAATGTTGATCTTCACACAGAGAAGCTCATTGGCAGGTTCTCTCCAGGCCCAGCAAACATTTCTTTTTAATGTCTGCCTTTAAGAGCACGGCGGTCCAACCAAGTCAGCCTTCACACACACTCAGTCTGTCTGGGCAAGCTAGGCTCAAATGAAGAGTACCACAGCACATGGGATTAGCTGTATGTCTTTGTGACCAAATCCCAGAGAGAGAAAAGCATCTTAAGGATTGATTTGGTTCAGGTTCATGTTTTCGAAGGTTCAGTCCTTGGTCACATAACTCATGTTACTGGGTATAGTGACCTGGTATGTCATGGCTATGGGAGTGTGTGGCGAAGTCAGAAGAAGCCTGAGTAAGACATGCCTTTCACAGCATACCTTCAACGACTTGCTTCTTCCAACCCCCCCCCCACCCACCTACACCCCCACCCCATCCTCTCATCCTCCCACCCCCCCAAATTCCCATAGCCTGCTCAGATGTTGAATCCATCTGTGCATTAACTCACAGATTAGGTCAGAACTGTTATGATTGAATCCTCTCTGAAGACTGTCACAAACACACTGGAGGTTTGCTCTATTCGATCCAGTCAACAAGCAAGAGTATCACATACGAGGGTAACTGAATATGAGAATTCAAGGTTGACTCCAGAGTGTTAACCATCATCCCACTGTGTGGATCTGACTCTCACAGGCACATCTCTATCCAGTGTCCCCTCAACTCCAGGCAAGTTTGTCATATTATCTACTTGACATTTTCCAGGTGAACTTCAACTTTTTTTTTTTGGTTTTTTTTTTTGGTTTTTTGAGACAGGGTTTCTCTGTGGCTTTGGAGGCTGTCCTGGAACTAGCTCTTGTAGACCAGGCTGGCCTCGAACTCACAGAGATCCTCCTGCCTCTGCCTCCCAAGTGCTGGGATTAAAGGCGTGCGCCACCAGGTGAACTTCAACTTAATGTACCTAAATCACACTCCAAAGCCCCTTCACCAAATCTGCCCCTCTCCTTCTTTCCCCATCCCAGGAAGCATATTTCTCAGTCACCTGAACCTAAGATTTAGGCACCATGTGTGACCCTGTGCTTTCGTTGTTCTCCACATTCAATCCATCAGTAAGTTTAGAGTCAGCATGTCCTTCCAAGCTAATGTTTTCTCCCTCTTGGACACCTGCTTATGACTGCACAGTGGAGAGCAGCTCCCCTCCTTCTGCCCTTGCCCATCCACAACCCCAGGTATTCAGAGAAACCCTTAATAAACCTAACCTGGCATCTTATTCCCCTAATCAAGCCCCAGTGGCTTCACATCAAATCAAGAATAAAATCCACACTCCTTACCTTGTCCTTAAGGCATGACATGGCCCTGAAGACCTCTCATTTATTTTTCTCAGCCTCTGCCAGCCCCAACAACACAAGAACACAAGAATACGAGGCAGACAGCAGACACCACCCTAATGGAACAGTTCACCTTCTGCTTGAAATGCTCTTCCCCCAAGTGAACACAGCCTGGCCCTCTCCTGTCATGAATGCCTTAGTTTTGAATTACTTCCTCAAGGAAGTCTTTCCTAACTAAAGGCAGTTCCCTGGTCTCCCCCTAGTCTGACACTCTGTGTAGTTTTCATCACAGAAACATCACTTCCTGATTCTTTGCCAGCTCCTTCTAATGAGTCTTCCTCTGTCCCCAACAATAAGCACCATGACAGCAAGGGTTTTGTCTGCTGTCTGCCTCGTCATATCCCCTGTGCCTTCAGTGGCATGTAAGAGATTAACAAATGTTCATGGAACAGATGAATATAACCAACAAACTGGAAATAAGAGAGCAAGAGATAAACGCCTTTGCTGTTGGTGTGGCTTTTCAGTTACTGGGACATACTTATTTTAACAAGAATAGAAATGAATACATGCCCCCTAAAGATACGAAATTTTTCTCTCTCAATGTGGACATTGATAAGATAAAAATTCAAATACGCCCAAAGAAACTACATATGAAAATTATCCTTAAAAGTCTTTAGATTACTTCAATTTGAAGGCCCCTGTATTCTAGGTCACATATTTTGAAGTAATGCAGATGAAGGATACAGTGTGTGTGTGTGTGTGTGTGTGTGTGTGTGTGTGTGTGTGCTTGTGCACCTATATCTGTCTCTGTGGACCTCCTGAAAAGTTTGCAGGCGTCCCAATTCACCACTGAGAGACCATCACAGGTTGAGAACATCCATGGTAACCACCAGAGCCCTCCCCCCAGTGTTCCGTCTCCATTCTTCTTCCCTCAAATCCCCACCCTGAGCTCCAATTTCGCTTTGTCACACATCTTTTCTTGTCCAGTAACTTTGGATTGTTTTTACAAAATGAAATAATAGCTAGGTTTCTAGAAAGGCCCAAACACAGAACTCAAGGATAAAAAGTGAAGAGTTCCCATCACTCAATGCTCCATGAACCCCTCTTCAGTTCCACAGAGGACTGCCTGCCTGCTGTCCATTCTGTTCCTCCCATGCCTTTTGCAATGAATGACCCCACCTGTGTCAGATTGGAAGATCTGTTTTGTCTTAGTTATTGTTCTGTTGTTGTGAACAGACACCATGGCCAACGCAACTCTTATCAAAGAACACACTTAACTAGGGCCTTGTTTATAGTTCCAGAGGGTTAGACCATGATCATCATGGCAGGAAGCAGACAGGCATGGTGCTGGAGCAGTGACTGATCCAAAGACAGTAGGTGGGGGTGGGGGTGGGGGTGGGGGTGGGGGTGAGGTTGGGCCACTCCCAGTAACACGCCTCCTCCAATAAGACTTTACCTCCTAATCTTTCCCACACAGTTCAACCACTGAGGACCAAGCATTCAAAGATCTGAGCCCATTCTCATTCAAACCATCACAGTCTCGTAGTAGACACGTCCCGTAATTTACCCTATTCTCTTTCAGCACTGTGACTTAAAGGTTATTTCACACACTTCTTATCTTCTTTTTTTTTTATATCTTTACTTTTATTATATGAATCCTTGGCCGTATGTATATCTGTTGACCTTGTGTATGTCTGGTCCCTATGGAGGGCATCAGATCCCTTGGAACAGGAGTTACAAGCATTTGTGGCCCACTATAAGGGAGCTGAGAATTGAACCCCTGCCTTCTCCAAGAACAGCCAGTGCTTTTAATTGCTGAGTCATCTCTCCAGCCCCTTGTCTTAATTTCTTATCACTTTCTACAGTGTTCATGCGCTACAGTTTACACAGTCACAGATAAATATATTTATGTCCAGCTTTTCATTATACTATGAAATGTACATCAGGGAGCAACTTTGTTCATAATATTTTTGCTGGCTTCCCTTTACTTGTCTGTTTCTCTTACTAGATCCAATATTACTTTCTGTCACAGTTCAAAATGGCCCCATTATTCCCTAATAGAGCTATGTAAGTAAATCATGCTTTACTCACTTAATTCTCTACATATTATATTTGTTTATGTAGTTAGGGAAGAGCTAATTGTGGAAATGAAAATACATGGAAAATGAACAGTTTCAAATGGTAAAGTTAACCAATGGTCTGTTGTTTTGTTTCATTTTAAACAGGGTCTCAGTAAGTCAGTGCCTAGATTGACCTTGAACTCCTGATGCTCCTTCCTCGGCTTCCCCCAGAACTGGGATTACAGGTGTGCACACCGTGACCAACTCTTAATGTTTTCTATAAACTGACACGAGTGGGAAGTCAAGCCATATTTGCAAGCATTCTGTACAGAGAAATGAACCTAATCCACTGAGTAAAACCAGACTTCCTCTGCAGAGACTTCCAGAATCAGAGCTTGCTTTCTGTGTTTCACTTCACACAAATGGCCAGACAGTGCTGGCTTTGCTGGGTTACAGAATTAGATCATATTACTACTCAGCAGATCCACAGAACCTCATTATCCCTACAGTCACAGGCAAGCAGCAGCAAAGCAAGAAGCCAGACTGAACACTTATAAGAAAGGAGTGGTTTCTGTGACACGGTAACTGCACATACAAATATGAAAGAAATCTAAATGCAATCACCAAATAACTGAGGAGGCAAAGCCCTAACACTCTTTTCTAGTTTGTTTCTGCCTCTGTGATAAACGCCATGAATAAACACAATTTGGAGAATGTAATGGCTAATCTTGCTTGTCAACTTGACTACATCTGGAAGTGACTAAAACCCAAGCATGCCTGTGATGGATTTTCCTGACTGGATCATTTAAGGTGGGTTGACCAGTACTCTGTTGTGGATATATACCGCATTTAAAAAACCTCATCATCCACTGATGGGCATTTAAATTGACTACATATGTTGGTTATAGTGAGTAGCCACGATAAATTTAGGACTGCAGATGTCTCTGGCATGATGAGTTCACTTCTTTTAGATATTTATCCAGAAAAGAAACTTCTATACTGTAGGAGGAAACCGTGTGCCGCCATTAGCCATGTGACTTATTACAGGCGCATACAGATGAGGTAATAAAAGAGCGGTTTACCGCACCACTAAACACACCCACTTTAGGCATGACTAAAGACGTATATGGACGTAGGCGGTGAACTACATCACTAGCCAGGCCCACTTTTGGGCATGGCTAGGGGCGTTATGGAGGAAGGTATAAAAGACTGAACAACGGAAGGCTTTCGGCTTCCAGTTCAGCGGCGGTGGAAAACTACTCGGCTCATGTGGGTTACTTGTTTGGTCTCTTGTGAGTAATTTCTACAATAAATACTTATTTTTACTTTCAGTAAGTGTGCCGTTTATCGTTGCAGCATCACTATACCATTTGGTAATTCTGTGTACAACACTGGCTGACCCTCCATAGTGTTCCCATAATAGCAGTGCTCTTGAGGTACCACCACTAGGATACAATGTCCCCTTTCTCCACAAATAAAACTCATTATGACACATTTCCTGGTGTGTTACTAAACACACCCAGTAGTAAGCAAACGTGGTTAGAAATGAGTAACTCTTCAAGCACTGCATGTGGTCAAATTCACGAACATTTCCCTATACCCTCTTCAGCCTCTCTCCAGGCTACTTCCCTTCAGACACTGACTTCAAAGATTCACATCACCACATATTGGTCCAGCCCGGCCTCGAACTCACAGAGATCCGCCTGCCTCTGCCTCCCGAGTGCTGGGATTAAAGGCATGCGCCACTACCGCCCGGCTCTCACATCACCACATATGCTGACACACTCTGAATCTCTCGTGTCAAACTGAAAACACTAAGATGCCCAACAGCATAGACCCAAGCTTCTACGGCATCTAGGATCAGAGCAAGCAGAGATTTTCAAAGATTGACTGTAACAGGTGACCATCACCTTAACAAGGTCAGCAGGAAGAGCACAGTGTCTCATTGCAGGGGCTGCTGGGTGACATCACAGGCACGCCTTCCTCTCTGGTCCTCTCTTTAGTAGTTCTGTAGGCTCACTGTCAGACATACAAGGAATAAGGACAGACAGCCATTAGGAGTGATAGGTATGGTGGCACGCTGAGGAGAGAACACTGGATGTTTACCTGAAGGACCCCAGAGTTGCCTCAGATTCGCAAGTGACCAACTTCCTATGGTCAGTGCATGGTTTCCACTTCCCATTCTCAGTTTGCTCAGTGAAAACTCACAGGAGGTCAGGTGCTAATGTATCAATTTGAGACATGAAATGGGACCCCGAGGGGACTTGCCCCAAGTTTTACTTTGGTAATTTGCAGAAGTAGGACAAAATGGAAGTCTGACACCTGAGCCAAAGGTCCTTTCATGAGGAGTCACATGGCACACATGCTGGCTGACATCGACAGGAAATGCTGCTTGGTTTCCTTGGCAATGTCATCTTAAGGATTTTCCTATCATATTTATTTTAAAATCCAGAAGAAGTTGGGAGTGGTGGCTCGGGCCTAGAATTTCAGCACTTGGGAGGCTAAAACAGGAGGAGCTTAAATTACAGGATCAGTTGAGCTACTAAAGAGCTCAAGGGCAGGGTGGACTACATAGCTTGATGCTATCTCAAGAAGCAAGAATAAAAGGAGGATTAAGAACTAGAAGGTTCCCTGGCCTTGGTGGCAGATGCATGCAATTTCCAGCTACTCAAGAGGCTTATGGTTCTAAGCTGATGGACAGCCTGGGCAGTGTGTCGAGATTCTGTCTCAAAATAAAATTTAAAGGGGTTGGGGGTATACCTCGGTGGAATAGCACTTGCCTAGCAAACACACTAGGGTATGGTTTATTCTCTACCCCACCCCACCACCAAAAGAAGAGTCTCATTTATATGCCTCATAATTCTCTACTTTAATATTCTACATACTTATATAGCATATGTTAATATAACATATTCTTTTTGTTTTTCAATGAATCTTCTTAGACCTTAAAAATACCCTGTGTTTGGGAGACCATTGCTCAAGTAATACTTCTGTTTTTAAATGTTGCAGATGCAAAACAATAGCAAACAGCCTGTAACTCCAACATTCAAGAGGCAGAGGCAGGAGGAGCATCATATCATAGCCCAGCCTGAGATATGTGCTATGTAGCAAGACCCTGTCTCAAAAAAAAAAGCAAAAACAAAAAACCATACAAACCACCCAACATTAAAGTAGAAATATACATAAACATAATTAAAAACTAAGTAAGACATTGGAAAATACCTATTAACCCAGAAACATTTGAGCTGATACTTGTACTTGAAAGATGCATAGATTTCCACAGAAGAGTAAAATAAAATGAGTAGCCACGTTGGAAAATGTTTGGCACATCATCAAAGTTGACACAAACCTACCATCAGATCTAGGAACTCCATGACTAGTACATACCTATAAGAAATGGAGAAGGGTGTTCAACAAGACTCACACTTGGATATAAGAGCAGCAGTTACTCATCACAGACAAAAAGAGGAAACCCGCAAATGTCCACCAATCAATGACTTTATAAACAAAGGGTCCCATAAGCATATTGTGAAATAATGCTTAGTCATAATTTAAAATGAAAACTGTCATGAGTGAGCCAAGCAAAAGAAGTCAGACACAAAAGGCACTTCCCATTTCTAAGTTTGTATATGAGATGTCCAGAAGAGGTGAACCTACACGGACAGAGTAAATTAGCAGCTCTTAGAAGAGAGGAGAGGATAAGAGGGCTGGCTAAAGATTGCCAGGCTTACTCCTGAGGCAAGGAAAGTGTTCTAAAAGCAGCCGCAGTAATGGCACCCATTAAAGTTCATTGACTTAAATGAGAAACAATAGTCATATGGCATCTGAATTTCATATTGATCTCAGTAAGCTATTTTTGTATTGAACTAGGAAGAAGTGTCCCTCTCCCTTCAAGAAGACCAAGAGGACTAGGGAGCCGGTGGATCAAAGTGGGGGTCAGAGGAACACCAAGTGCAAGGCTACAGAGGCACTGGAATGGTAGGAGAAAGCAGAAGAGAGAACATACAGAGGGATGATGAACGAGTGAGCCTAAAATAGCGCGCAGAGGAAGTAAAAGTGAAGTTGCTACAACAGCGCCGTCTAGAAAAGAAACAAGGGTGGAGAAGAAAACATTCGTAGATGGCTTCTGGACAGCTATTGCAGACCCTGTCTCTTGAGTAGCCCCCACACTCTGACATGTACCCTGTCTTTCAAACAGCTGAGTGACCTGATTAACAGAGAGGAAACAAGGCCTCAGTGTTAAGCACTGTGGTGTATTTGGTTAGGTGCCTATCTCCTAGAGGAACACACAGAAAGACTTAGAAGCAACAGGATTTCTTGCATTGATTTGAGATATTGCCTGAAGAGATGGAGGTGGAAGAAAGACATTATTAGCCACACTGATAACTGCTGTGGAAGGAGTAAGGCAGAGGAGAGCATTATTCGTTATACTATTCTTTCTACTTTCAAGTGTAAATTTTCCATTAAAAAATATGGTAAGTAAAGAGATTTGAAAAAAGAGTCTCAACATTTGCTATATTCTATGACCTTTGTGACACCCCTATCTTACCTGGAGCACTCCACTCCATCACTTCAGTGTCTGGGTCTTTATGCAAATGCTACCTATGGACCCGTCACCTTTTAATCACCTAGATGTGTGCTATCCCTATTTCTCACCAACTTTTCCTCTATAGCAGTTTTTTTCTGACATCTTCCTCATCAGTTCATATCAGTTCATAGCACAGCATTCATTTTGTGCCTTGAATTGCTCTAAATTTTACACACACACACACACCCCTTTATCCTTTGATTAGAGTATAATCTTTCAGATTATTACCAACCCAGCCAATCCACAACAAAGATAAACTCTCTTGCTTTTCAGATAGCAGCAAAGGGGCCAGAGGATTAGAGCAAGATGAAGACTATTAAATAGCCAAGATGACTAAGAAATACTTGGTATGGGAACAAACCTGGAAGTCCATTAATGCGGGAAGGTGGTCCAGGAATGTTGGCACTTGACATAAAATTAACTTTGGTTCCAAAAAAAAAAAAAAAAAAAAAAAAGGAAGAAGAGGGAAAGGAGGAAGAAAAGGTGAAGGAGAGCAGGGAACCTGCCCAGACCTTGAAACTAACAGAAACCCACCTCTGGATCTTCACAGTCCACGAGAAGATGTTGGGGAAACACATACAGCCTGAAAAGCTGTTTTCAAATGGGTAGACCCAGGAGAACCAGGCCAGACTAATGTAGCCCTTAATTTCTCAGACCCACAGGTAAAGGGAAGAAGTTTAAAGCTCATGATCCAAACTCCCTCCAGAGGAACAGTCCTCATCATGTGCTGCCTTGGCCACGTGGTGATGGTACGCATTTACTTCTCCAACACTAGCTCTCTATAAGACTTTAAAATGAGAGTGAGAAACCAAAGGCTCCTGTTTTTATATGGGATACAGGACAATTCGGATCATTTGGCAATTGCACCGTATTTGTGTGTTTTAATATAACAATTCATGTCTCCTTAGCTATCCCAAAAGCTACCTTTAAAAACTAATTTCCAAATGAAGAAAGAGCAGAGAAGGAAACCACACAGGTTTTTCAGAGCTGGGATGTTCTCAGATCCACTAGAACGTGTTGTGATCAAAAGGGGGTTGAAGAACATAAGGAAAAAATAGTCTGGCTACAACTGTCATTGCTTGACATCAACTAGAGAAAAGACCTGCTCACCCCTCAGACTTCTATGTTCTTCCAGCCACAAACAACAACACATACACACACACACACACACACACACACACACACACACACACACACACACCACCTTTTTTTTGTTTGTTTTTTTGTTTTGTTTTGTTTTAAGAGACAGGGTTTCTCTGTATTGTTTTGGAGGCTGTCAGTCCAGCCTGGCCTCGAACTCACAGAGATCCGCCTGCCTCTGCCTCCCGAGTGCTGGGATTAAAGGCGTGCCCCACCAACGCCCGGCCATCTTTTTTTTTTAAGAGAGGATTTTCAACCTAAGTGCTGGGTGAATCATGCTGGGTGTGTGGTTTCACGTTCTATTAATTTACCATTACCCAGTTGCCAGATGACAAAAAACACCCAACTCTGAAAGCTCCTTTTTCTCCTAAGAAGTATTTTTCCTCCTCAATTTATACTTCATGTTCTGATGGACAAAGAGCATCTACCCAATATAAGAACACTATTATTATTTCATGGGTCAGAAAACTGAAAGTGACCCAGGCAGTAGTGGCACATGCCTTTAACCCCAGCACTCAAGAGGTAGAGGCAAGTGGATCTCTTTGAGTTTGAGGCCAGCCTGGTCTACAAGAGCTAGTGCCAGGACAGTTAGGACCACACAGAAACACCCTGTTTTGAAAAACAAACAAACAATAAAAACCAACCTGAAAGTGATGTCCACACAGCCATCTAATGGCTCTTAGGAGAACCACAGCCTGGAAAGATGCTTCAGTCCCTCCATTCTCAACCCGCAGACCACCTCTATGTGTGAGATAAACCTGGGACAGAAAGCATATGCACACTCACATGCACACGCGCCCACACACACACACACACACACACACACACACACACACACACCTCCCAGTCAGTAAGGTGATTTTATGACAGAGTGATAAGATGCTTCTGAGCTCCATGACCTTGAACAAGGCACAGAATCTCTATGTGCTCCACTGCAATTTCCAGTTTGATGTGAGAACTAACTGAATTGTAGCATGAGTGCCTCAGCCTGGCACACTGTGTTCTCTAAGGTGACTTTGCTATCATTGTCATAATTATGGCAGAGCGATTCCCAGTGCACCAGAAGACAGATAGTCAGGAGGCCCTTCCTTATTCCTCACCCTCTGAGTCTTCAGGTCCTCTTAACTAAGATGTGCAAACCAGCCAGAGATCTTTTGGGGGGCATGGTGAAAAGATGTAATAGGATGGACAGGCACCAGTGTCGCTGGGATTTATTCTCACTGGAAGCTCAAGCGTATTTACTTAAGGAGAACTGCTTAACAGTCACACAACACACCACAGAATCTCTCTGCATCAGTAACATGAATCTATTGTTAGTGACAAGGGAAAGTATTCAAATCTGACAGTTGTGTCACGTGTGGGCATTCAGATGAGCAGGGACATGTCACTCTTTCTTTATTTAGCATGTGACTTACTTCCCACTATCAAATGAAGTACTTTCCACTTGAATATTTGCCCATGGCTCCCCCAGAAATTGCCTGTGTAAAAACAAGCAAATAAACAAGGGGGCTGAAGAAACGGCTCAGTAGTTAAGTGCACCTGTTGCCCTTGCAGAGGACCCAGGTTCAAGTCTCAGCACCCGCATGGTGGTTCACAACCATCCATAGTTGGGGGAGCCTAGGCCTCCCTGTGATCTCCCTGGGCACCAGACACACATGGTGCACGGATATACATGCAGACAAAACACTAAAACATAAACTAAAATAAATCTAACTTGAAACAAACAAGTTAGAACATGGAATGATCCTGGGAGGTGGTGGTGCACGCCTTTAATCCCAGCACTCGGGAGGCAGAGGCAGGTGGATCTCTGTGAGCTCGAGGCCGGGCTGGACCGACAGCCTCCAAAACAATACAGAGAAACCCTGTCTCGTAAAACCAAAAAACAAACAAACAAAAACAAAAAAAGAACATGGAATGAAAACTAACCACCTCTAGGCCTCAGCTTCCACGACTCTCAAATTCCATCAGCGTCCCTTGCACCCCTCCCGACTCTATGCAGACCCTAAGGGACTGACGGAGAAGACACGGTTCCTATCATCTGATGCTAAAAGGTCGTGAGGAGCAGTGCCAGGTGGCAAGGCAGCTGAAGAGGAACCGAGAGCTGCGGGGATGGAGAAACAGACACGCTTTGACCCTTGCCACAGGGCCTTACAAAACGATGTAGCTTGCATAAGGCCTCTGATGGCCTCTGGGGCCGCAACTGTGAGTCCAGCGCCAGCCATTCCCTGCAAAGGCCACCCTTTTGAGTATACCTCACTCCCTGATGTTCACTTATCTTTCAAACTCTCTGGGAAGTGGAGTCTGGGCTCCCTCACCTCACAAGGAAGTGCCTTGACAGATATTTGGCCTTGGGACTGGTCTAGGGAACCCCAAGTTTGCTAACTGGTTCCCAGTCCTTCGCTTTCTCACGCCCCAACTTCAACTGAAGCTCTGGGCAATGGGACTGGCCCGCGGTGGGGGCAGCTCCAGAGTACACGTTTCTTTCGCGCCTAAGCTCTCATTTTGGGTACTACACCTTCTCGAGCATTCTCAGTTCCACAGGGAATCCTCTGCACTTCTGCACTGGTGTCGCCAGGTGGGCCAGCCTGGAATCGCACCAATTCCAGGTCAGCAGGTGGATGGACTTCAGATGGGGTGTGCTGGCTTACGTAGCAAAATGTTTTTCTGCCACCTTGACAAGTCCAAGATGTGAGGATGGAGTTCTCACAATTTGTGTAAGGGCCTATGGGGAACTGAGAAGACCCAGGAGACCATCTGAGTTCAGGCTCTTTACTGCTCCCAATGATGATGTCTGGCCAACAGTACCCCTCTCCTGGCCCTTCCTCTCCCCAAAAGAGCACTTTTTTCGTTTGTTTTCTTTCTTCCTTCCTTCCTTCCTTCCTTCCTTCCTTCCTTCCTTCCTTCCTTCCTTTCTTCCTTCTTTCTTTCTTTCAAAGTCACATCGAAAAAGCCCTCTTCTCCCCTGAGGAACACCTTCCCACAGCCCCCTAGTAACCACGACGCTGTCCTGACCACGTCCAGGACCACCGGTTACTTTCTACCAGCGGACTCCGGTGCACTCATCCTCATTGTGCCCCGCCTCCCGCAGCCAGGCCAATACAGCCCGCCCGCGCTGGTCCGGGCCACCTTCAAGAGGTCACAGCGTTGCAGAACCTTGGGGACACGAAGCGAGGGTCGAGATGCAGCTGGGACGCTGCCGGGACGCCGGTCATCTTCGCTTCCCTCTGTCTGTGACGCCCACATTATGAAAAGCCACGGGAAAGCGAAGCCTGGGGCTTCACCAGGAACGCCGGGACACTGGGACGCCACCGAGTGAGCGCCTGGACCTGTGCCTCGAGACTACACTCTGCCCTCGGACGCCACAGACCCGTCACACCCGACTGAAATGAGCTCGAAACCAAACTGGCACAAATGAGCTCCCAGCCCCCAACGCGCAAGCAGCAAGCTTCCTCCACTCTGTTGTGTCAGCGCTCATATCTGCGAGCCTCGGGTGAACCGCAGCTTACCCGTGCCTCTCGGTCGTTATATCCACCTAATAGCCACCTTGCCATGTGGCAGCGGTAGGTCCGGATCACCTCGTCGGTGTGTGGCCAACAGCTCCGAGGTTCTGATGGTGCTGAGAGAAGCTGCCAACGAAGACAGAAAGTTTTCACCAATAGAAACCTAAAGTTCTCCTAGTTCGGCAGCACGTGCAACCACTCTCAGCCCCTCTAGGTGGCGCTGGGTGCTCTCTGGGGGAAAGGATTGGGACCGTTAATCCTGCAGACAGTCCCAGCATCCCAAGGCTCACTTCTCTACTTCTCTGCAAGCCCGATCTCCATCACTCCTGATGGTTCTTTGGCTTCGCCCATTATCGTTTCCAGGTCGTGGAGCAAATGCAATAAGATTTTTGGATTATTTATCTAGCGTCTCTGAAACATCCTCAAGTGCCTGGGACAGATAATTTTGGAATGGTTTAAACTTAACTAGTTGTTGCCTCTTCAGAGGAAATTAGAAACCGATAAGAAAAAGTCAGCTGAATACTAGCTGCCGGTCATTGTCCTCCCTGTTACTTGTGACCAGTTTGTCTGGGAGTTACACTGGGTTAGACCTGGAAAGATTCCGTGTCAACTGAACACCCACCGGGGAAAGCTTACATTAAAAAGTCAAAAACAGGAGCAGGTGTGTACAGAAGGAACGCAACTTTGATGCCCGCCTGGTCTACACAGCAAGACTATTTCAAGAAAAGTCAATAAGCAAAGTATAAGTTAGTGCTAATATTTGTTGCTCATCTGCCGTGCCTGCCGCCTTTAATTGTTTTATGCCCCCTTAAAAACATCCCTGTAACAAACCATTGCTCCTGTTTCAAAGATGAGGGGTCTGTGGCTTACAAAGTTGTTTAATAACTCCTCTAAGGCCCCACAGCTAGACAGCACAGTCACACTCTTAAGGAAGGTGTATCTGGCAGCAGATCCTAAGTCCAGTTTCTACAGAGCATCAGGTAGGCAGGCAAGGGGACCAAGTGACAATCTTGTTTCAGGGATATCTAAAAGGAAAGAAGTCACCAGATGGGGCAAGAGAAGGAATCTTTTTTATGTATATAAATCATTTCTTTCTCTTTATTACTCAATTTTCAAAAGGATGTGTTAATTCTCCAACATCATCTTCAAGTGAGCAACGAATTATTTTTCTAATATCTCTTGTCAGGAACCCATGAATTTAAATCTATGCTACATGAGCTGGGTGTACAAGTCAGTGGTAGATCACTTGCCTAGTGTAAGCCGTGTTCTGGGCTCTATCCAAGCATTTTCATAATAAGCAAACAAAAAATATATACGCATACACATGTGCACACTTATGCTTAGATTTGTGAAATTTCCCAATATGTCTCTGCCTATGCAATTATAATTTCCCCTGATGTTTCTTTTTATTATTTATTTTTAAATTTAAATTAGAAACAAGATTGCTTCACAAGTCAGTTCCAGGTCCCTCTCCATTTCCCTCCCCTCCTCCCGTGCCCTCCCCCCAACCCCCCCAATATCCCCTCATTTCCCCAGGGAGGGTGAGGCCCTCCATGGGGGTGTCCATAGTCTGTCATTTCATCCAGGGCAGGGCCTAGACCCTCCCCCCAAGAGTTCAGGGTGAGAGTGCATCTCACATTGTTGGATGGGCACCCAAAGTCCATTTGTATACTGGTATAAATACTAATCTACTGCCCAAGGCTCAATAGATTACCTAGGCCTCCTCACCAACACCCCCATTCAGGGGGTCTTGATCAGTACCATGCTGGATTCCCAGGCATCAGCCTGGGATTCAAGAGCTAACCCTTGTCAGATCAGCTGTTTCTGGAGGTTAAACCAGCCCAGTCTTAATCCCTTTGGTCATCAGTCCTCCCTCTCTGTTACTGGCTTAAGAGAAGGAATCTTAGCAACAGCGAATGTCATGCAGAAAAAGTTGGTGTTAAGGTTTGACTCTGAGATGTCTCCCCCAGATTCATTTATTTTGAAAGCTTGTTCCCCCAGTGACTGGTGACATTTTGGGAGACCCTGGAACTTTTAGGACGCAGAGCTGAGCTGAAGGAAGTAGGTCACCAAGAATGGGACTTTCAGGTTTGTAGCCCAGCCCCAATTCCAGTTTTCTGCTTCCTGGTCCACTCCTACACAAACCAGCCTTTGCCTCCACCTCTCCGGCAGAAAGAGTTGTGCCTGCCACCCTGACCTCTGCACTGAAACCCCTCTAAAACTGTGGGTCGAGACAAGCCTTTGCAGCCTGGGGTTAGTTCTGCCAGGCACACCACTAATCAAAAAGTAAAAGCAAATGCCCTGGAAGATGGAGGTGAGGCCCGGTAGTAGAGAGAGAGTTCAGCCCCCAGCACTGGGAGAAAACAACTGCCAAATGGCAGACTAAGTGAAGTTCTAGTTAAGAAAAGGACTCTTAGGCTACGGATATACAGGTCAGTGGCAGATTGCTGGAATGCATAAGGCATCAGGGTGACTTTCCATAGGGAGGGCACTCCAATGAATACTAGAGGAAAAAAGCCCCAAGTTTATTACACACAGTCTTTATATACCAAATCAAAAGTGGGGGAAAGCAAAGAGACTTCCTCACCAAGATACAAAGAATAAGAAAGTCTCAATACCCAAAACATTCAGTAACCACACCCTAAACCAAGTATCCTGTTGTCAAGATAGACAATAGCTCCTGTAGGGAAGAGGGGCCAGTCAAAGAAACACACCCTGAGCAGAGCCAAAGAAACACACTTTGGCCTTACAACCAGGACTAAAGAAATATACCCTGACCCTGAAACCAGTGCCAAAGGAACACACTTTGCCCTGGAATCTGAGTCAGTGAAAGAAATGCACCCTGGCCTTAAAATTGGATCCAAAAGGCTAAAAAGGACCAGAGAAAAAAGCACACTTTGGCCCTGAAACCAAAGCCAAATCTTACCTTAATCCTGTGCAGAAAACTAACCAATCCTTGAGCAGAGCTCTAGCTAATCTGAGCTCAGCACTGAAATCGGACCAATCCCTACCCTGGAAAAACTTCCCCGCCCCCAAGAATTCTTATATAAATCCTGTATGTTCAGCTTGGCTGGTCCAGCTGCTTCCTTCCAATAAAACCCTCTGATGAGCTTTGGGTGAAGATCTTCTTTTGCGGCAGCGACAGAGCAGAGGCGACCCTGGGCAGAGCAGAGCTGTAACACTTGCCCGGGAAACCTTCCCTTGGCAGAACGGAGTTGTTACACTACGCTCCCTGCTCCCAGCTCCCTTGCTCCCTGCTCCCTGCTCCCTGCTCCCTGCTCTCAGCTAGCTGTAAGCTGCTAAGCTTACTGCAACCTGTGGTGGTCCTTGGCTCCTGAGCTCCAGGATTCCTTTCCACCTGAGCTGTGTAATACTCAATATTCTGTGGCTTCCGAGTGCCAGAATGCCTGTCCCATCCCGATCTGCCTGAAATGCCAACAGCTACACCTTAGGCTAAATGTCCTGTTGTTAAAGTAAGACATCCATTAGTTACCTCTCAGGTCAAATATCCTGTTGTTTAACTTTGAACAAGCAATAGTGGGTTTGAACTCTCTGACCTTAAGTCAAGATGAAGTGGAGTCATCTCTATGGGCCCTGACAATTTATGCTGTGGAATATTTGTTTAATAATGCAAAGATGCATTGCATGCTTTTATGTTGCATTTGTTTAACTCTGTGAAGCTGTGTTACTTTGCTTGTCTAATAAAGAGCTAAACAACTAATATCAAAGCAGGTTAGGTGGGTCTGGCAGAGAGAATAAGAGGAGAAATCTGGGAAGAAGATCAAGGAACAAGAAAGAAGGAGAGGGAACATCAGAGCCAGCCACCCACAGCCACAAAGTAAAAAGTAAAGAAAACTATATAGAATAGAGAAAATAAAAGCCCAGAGGCAAAAGTTAGATAAGATGGTGTAAATTAAGAAAAGTTGGCTAGAAACAAGCCAAGCTAAGGCCAGGCATTCATAAGACAGAAAAGGCCTCTGTGTTTATTTATTTGGGAGCTGGGTGGAGGCCCCCCAAAGAGCAAAGAACAAAAACACCAACTATACCTAGCCAGGCTTCACAAGAAGCCACTGTGAGGTAAGCAGAGCTTTGACCCTGCATTTGAACTCAACTGACAGAGTCAGAAAAGGGGAAACCAGTCCCTACCAAACAGGAAGGAATGAGAGAAAACAAACTCCGTAATAAGCTGATGGGGCGTAATGGTGTTATCTCCATGCAGAGGCTGGGGGAGGGAGGATGACCCTGTACACCAAGACACCAAGATGACACCAAGAGGCCTGGAGGGGGACAACGCCAGCCAGAGAAGCTGGGTTCAGCAGCTCTGTTGCTCCTCTTCCTGCCAGCCCGTCTTAAACAGCAATTACCTACAAAAGGACAGATAAGTATTTTCATTTACGAGAGAAACCTAGAACAAATGCATAGAGACAGAGGGAAGAATAAAGTTCACCAGGGACAATGGGCATAGCAAGGGGGGGATACTTATTATTTAGTGAGTATAAAATTCATGCTTAGGATGATAGACATGTGGGAGTGGATTGTAGGGGTGATTGTCTAACCCTGTAAATGAACAGGGTAGATATAGTGAACGTTTTGTACAATTTACCATAGGAAACATACACATGAATAGATTAAAGTCAGTTTTCATGATGCAGTACTCCTCTGGACTAAAAGCTCAAGGGAGTGGAACATGACTGAGAACACTTAGAGACTCTTTCCTTGAGTTTTAACAAATCTGTCATTATTTGCTTCCTGTTAGAGGCGCCAGGGCTGGGACTCTGGGTTGTTATTCTACTTAAGATGGTTTTATTCTACCTAAGCTGGCCTTGACCTCTTGGGCTCCTATAAATCCTAGTAGTCAGGTGTGTAGGTTAGGTGTAGCCCTCATAGACCACATGAATGCTTGGCTCATAGGAAGTGGCATTATTAGGAGGTGTGGTTTTGTTGCAGTGGGTCTGTCCTTGTGGGAGGAAATGTGTCACTGTGGGGGCAGGCTTTGAGGACTCCTATGCTCAAGTTATGTCCAGTGTGGACACAGACTCCTTCTGCTGCCTGTGGATCAAGATGTAGAACTCTCAGCTCCTTCTCCAGCATCATGTCTGCCTGCGCACTGCCACGTTCCATCGTGATGATAATAGACTAAACCTCTGAAACTATAAGCCAGTACAAT